GACTTGAAGATGTGTGGACTTCAAGTCGCCAAGGTTGAGAAACACTGCTCTAGGAGGAAAGGCACTGATTCTTGATTGCTTTGATCAATTACTATAACACTTAAAAACAGACAGATCACAGCTCCAAAGGAATTAAAGTCGATGGGCATATGTGGAATAGACCAGTCATGACTTTTTCACAATATTCTCTGCTTTCTATGAGATGGAAAGCAGGGCACCCCACTCTCCTTCCCAATTAACCCTGTAGTGACAGAAAATGTTCCTTCGGCCTCTCTTGGGAATCCTCCCCCAAAACCCACCTAGAAGATGATTCTGGAGGACGCTGCCGAGTTCCTCATCTGTCAAAAATGCACACATTTCTGCCAAGCAACCCGCCGAGGCCATGCGAGTCGCATCCTGGTAAGGAAAAAAAACAATGTTTCCATCCATGCTGAAGGTTTCCAGCCAGCAACATCTTCACACCTGATTTCTTTATGATATAAGCTTTCAGTGACCCATAAGGCCGCTTTATTCAAATACTTATATCCCAACTTTGAGGTCAACTGCCTCGTTCCATAGAAATTACTTATTACCAGTTTGAAAGAGTTGTAACCAACCACCTTTTAGACCAGTGTTTCTCACACTTGGCAACTTTAAGATGTATGGACTTCAATTCCCAGAATTCCCCAGCCACAGCATGGCTAGTTAGGGAATTCTGGGAGTTGAGGTTCATGCATTTTAAAGTTGCCAAGTTTGAAAAACCCTGCTTTAGACCATTCCTACAGGCAAATAGTGATCCTAGCCCTTGGGGAAGCACGGGCGAGTAGAGTCAACCTTGGCACTTTGTACCATGGTGACTGGTCCTGGTTAAAGTTCAATGGGTAGGTAGCATTGCCAAGCCCCAGCCCCAAGCATCATCTCTATTTACAAGAATGCCTCTGGGTCATGAGAGCCATCTGGGGTGCAGGCCAGCCTCCCCACTGCGTGAGAGCACCTTATAGAGACTCAGAGGAGAAGTTCAAAATAGCAGTTCTCAGTTTCAAGGGAGAATCTTGCCCAGTTGACTCACAGAGGACAAGGCTGGGTAGCTAAGCAATGCCTCTTCCTCTATTAGTCCAGACTGCGCTGGTCCTCCAAGACCTGACTCAGAGAAGCCTTTCTAGCCTTGCTACTATCAGAATGGTGTATGTATGTGTGTGTGTCTCGTACGTGTGTCTATTTCTGTGTGTGCGCGCATGCGTGTGTGTGTGTATAGCCTCCCTTCCCTTATGCTCTCAGGTTTAGAGAGATACAGATGTTACGTCACATCACGTCCCCATGTATGAGGTTTTACATGACTCCCCTCTTGGAAAGAAAGGGGGACATTTCTCCCTTTTTACACAGCTTACATCCTGTGTGGTGTTTTCAGTTAAACTGAGTGACAGGAAGCAAAGTTTCCAGTTTCATCCTTATTGGGACACGTCAGATGTACGTAGCCAGAACTTAAGATCTGGCTACATACATCTGACGAGTCCCAGATAAGGTGAAACTGGTAACCTACTGCCTTCTGGTGGTCAATACAGCCTTGCTATCTGAGTTCCCATTTTAACTGGAACTGGTCAATGCAAATTGGGCAGTGTTGCAATCAACAAGCTTCTGCCAAGCGATACCTCTTCATGTCCCAGCATGCTGAGAAGCACGGTGGTGATATTCTTCCGAACAGTGGCGTCCACTTTCGCTCCAGCCCCCTGAGTTACAAACCGCAAAGCCTGCAGCATCGTGTCCCTGAAAAGTCCCGAGAGAGAGAGAAGCAAGTCAGGAGTGTTTAAAAACAAGGGACCAAACAACAGAAGCACCTCTTGCCAATAAGCGTCTTTATCCTATTTATTATTTGTTTCCAACCAAAACTCTTCAGTCTAAATAGAAGACTGGGAACTCTTATTCCTTTTCTGATTGGAGGAAGCTCGGTAGCACAAATGAAAGCCTTTACTTATTTATTAAGAGAATTTTAGGCCACTTATTACAAAACATCCTGAAGCAGTCAAACAAAATCCTAAAATGGTTTTATGCAATGATTGTTTATATATTTATTGCTTGACGGGATTGTTGTACGCTGCCCAGAGTCACTTTTTGTGAGACAGGCAACCATATAAATTTGATTAATAAATAAATACATTACATAAAACCACTCCAAGGTAAAACAAAGTCATTTAAGAGTGAGGGCAGCGTCTCTTGTATAGGTCAGGTGAGTGATCAGAGCAAATCAGGGATCACAGTAAGAAAATGCTTTCAAAGTATTTTTGGCCTAACTTCCCCAAAATCACCAAGGTAGGAGGGCACCTATGGTTTGACTCAATGCTGCCTAGGACTATAAAAGCAGAACTTAGAACCTTCCCAACCACTTGGTTATCCTGATCCACCATAAACAGGGGAAGTTTTTAGGCAAATAAGCGCTTTCAAATATAGCACCCTGCCTTGTTGGTTCAGCAGAGCCAAAAAATAAACTGGGAGGACATTCTTCCCAATATAGGTTACAGACACCTGTAACAAATCTTTCCTTAAAGCAAGGAAGGATCTGGGAGGATCTGCCCACCCCACAGGTCTTCCTCTACTGAGCGTAAAGTGTGCTTTCCAGAATCACACACACAGGGAAAAAAGGACGAGCCATCAGCCGCTCCTGAGTCACTTGCCTGATGCCAGAATCTTCGCTGGTACGAATGCCATTCAATAATTCAGTAAAGAGAGGATCGACCTTGGCGTGAATAGCAATCAACTTCCCCAGAGCGTCAGCAGCTTTTAAGCGGACCACCCGGTTGGGATCTTGTAGCGCTTTTGTGAAGGTGGTTTGCAGTTGAGGCAGGAATGGCTTCAGAGCGATACCCACCTGTAAGTGTTGGCAGGGGGGGTACATGTTACACACAGCCATGATCAAAGCTTTGACTTCTACATCAATGTAAGCACACAAAAAATGCTTAGGTCTTCTCAGAATCAAAAAAGACCACCAACGTTGCTTTAAAGGGTTGGGTCCCAGGCCTCAGTTACTGGAGCTAACGTCGTTTATGGGATGACCCCAAAAGAGCAGAAGAGAAATCAAAAGAAATGAGATTTATTTTTTTCCCAGTTCATGGATCCAATGTCAAGAGTTTCACAGCTGATGTCAGAAGGGCTCTTGTCCTTAGGGACTTCAATTTCAAAACAGAAAACCAAGGACAACAGGACAGGCATCTGCCATGCTAATAAAACATGGCATGTAAATAATAATAGAATTAGAATTTCAAAAGCACTTTTGGACCCTGTTTGGCAAAATACATTGATCCAACTTTCCCTGGCTGTCTTTGGTGAGTCACTCCTGCAGGGGACTTAAGCAAGGAAGCATTATGAAACAACAAAACAGACATCTCTTCCAGCAAACATACGAAGAACTATGAGTACACTGTGGGAAAGCTGGCTTTGTAAAGCTGTTTACCGGAGCTGACCCTAAAGATTTCAAAATGACAAGTGATTATGCTAGCATAAAGAGTCATGATCAGCAGGCAGAACTCTCTTGAGAGTCAGCCCAAAGCATTTAATTCCAATATTATTTTAAGCCCACACTATTGGGTCCCACTCAAGCTCTTTCAGGATTTTGTTGCCAGGGTTCACTTGCTTACCTTGGCCAAGAGAAGACTCAAGGTTTCCAGCAAAGCCACCTTGACATTCCAACTGAACCGGTCTCCCAAAATCCGGATCAGGGGCCCAGTAATGCTTACAACAGATGGTTTCAGAGCTTCGGCAGAGGTCAACTTAATGACCAGTCCCAGGGCCTTGGCTGCCTCTTCCTTCTGGTCTGAATTGCCTGTCAGAACCCCCTCCCGCAGCACAGGCAGGATGGAGGTCACGCCCTAGGAGAAAGGAGTCAAGGCAGACATGTTCCAAATGTAGAGGCAAGCTGGGTTCAAGGCAACGTGCCTTTCTATTCAATTGCCAGTTTTAACTATTAAGATGCTTCAAGCTTATTTTCAATATTTCTAGAATGATTTTCAGGGAACCACATTCCCTGCCCACCCTCAGAGGCCTGTAGAGAAATTAAAGGGATATATTGTTATCTGAGGAATCTTGGAGGAGATAAAAGATTTCTGTTCAAAGTTCAAAGACTTTGTTTTATTAAACAGAACAGCGGTTGTCTGTAAAAGGAAGCCGATGGAGCCTCCACAGAGCAAACTTGTTCTTTTAGAAGAGGACATGGCATGATGACATCAATGGCCGATCTTCTGTTGCATGAGAAACTACACAAGATCATGGAAACAAAGGAATGCCATTCTTCTAGGACAACCACCTCAGTACTAGGACTTCCACTCCCAAAATTTCTACCTAGTTGAACAGGGGATTTTGGAGTCCGTAGTAGCATACGAAGTGCCAAGTTGGGGACAATTATGCTGTGGGAAGAGAAGGTCTCTTCTGGTGATGGTCCAAAATGTTCATGCTGCAGTCATCCAACAGGATGATCATCCCCACAGTAATAATAACGCTCAGAGCCCCGTCTGCCCTCCACTGTTACCTTCTTGGGAATGCAGAATCCAGGTACGTGTTCTCCGGTAGCATCGTTGCCAACAATACGAATATCCCTGTGGAGATCTTCAATGAGGGCCAGCTGGCTGCCAGCATCTAATTTCTAGGAAAGGAACCCGTGTTCCATCGCATGAGGATGCATCCGTACATGACAAAAGCATCTTTCACTTTTCATTACATAATCAACATTACTAGTTTTATTCATTAAAGATGTCATTTCAGCCAATCCCAGAAGGAGAATTCTGTAAAGCTGAAAAGCCCCTTAACCAAAGATAGCACTAGCTTAGCTATAACCAAGAGGCGCTAGGGACATTCAGGCACAAAGAATGTTGCAAGCAGGAAAAAGAAAGGGAACGTGTTAACCCTAAGAAGGCTAACAGGGCAACAATTAGCACTGGGAACTCAAGGTTTTTTGGAAAATGGCTAAGCGTGCCATGGACTCTTTTTGGAAACCTACAGACCCCCTTCT